TATATATATATATATATATAAACATTTTCTCTGGTTTTTCGACCTTTTTCGATAGTTAATAAAAACAATTATTTGAGCTTGAGGTCAAACTTTTTGGTTTTTTAATTATTTATTTTTCTTTTTCCAATATTTCGAAGCTCTTTGAGTTTCATCTTCAGGGTGATCTACAAATTAAATAACAAAACATACAACATATTAACATTATCACAGCACAGGACATAAACATGTAAATAAACGCTTACTTGCAAATAATTAAAATAATAAACTTAAAACTAGCGTAGTGTGACTACTACCGTCAAGTGTTACTATTGCACTGATAATTATTTGCATATTGCACGATCTCTTTTTGTTAAATGCCTGTAGCAGTAAGCTGTGTTGTCCGTGTCTGCTTTGCTGTTTATTCTCTTTGTTGTTGATAAACTATTGATGTGAAGCATCTCTATCGTTAGTCTCTTGTTGTAGTGATGTTCCGTTTGTAACACTCTCACGTCATCGATCTTGGGTGTATGGTTGTACTGTTTACAGTGTTCGGCTAACGCTGTTTTTTGTATCGAATTATTGTTTCTTAATTTGATGTCTGATTTGTGTGCTGACATCCTAGTTTTTAGTTTGTTTTTTGTTGTGCCAACGTAATGTTTTCCGCAACTTTCTTCCTTGTTACCACCACATTCAATTTTGTAAACTACATTATGTTTGTCCATTTTTGGTATTTTACTTTTCATGTTTGTGAATAAAGATTTTGTTGTGTTATGTGAGCTATGTGCTATTGTGTATTTATTTTTGTCATATATTTCTGACTTTTCCAATCTTTCTGATATATTCGGTAAATATATCAGGGATTTGTATATCTTCGGCGGGTCTGTTTTCTGCGAATCTCGACTTGAATGTTTATTCTTATAATAATTTTCAATTAGGGATTTGGTTATATGTAATGGGAAGTTATTATTAATTAGAATGTCTTTTATTTTTAATTTGTTTTGGAAATGAAATTGTTCGTCGCTTATTGTTAGTACTCTATTTATTAAGTTTTTCGCTGTATTGATAATTGTTCGTTTTGTGTGTTTAGAGTAGTAATTTATTATTCTACCTGACGCTGTAGGTTTTTGATACCAATTTATATTTATCGTATTATCTGCATTTCTTATTACTAATGTGTCCAAATATGGGATTTTTCCGTCGCATTCTTCTTCCAAAGTAAATTTAATGTTTTTGTTGAAACTATTTAGTACTGTCAGCGTTTCTTGTATTGCATCTTCCCTTATAATTAAAAACAAATCATCCACGTATTTCGTCAGTATCTTTGGTTTTGATTGTAATCTTTGCAAGCTTTCGTTGAGCAGTGATTCCATAACCAAATCTGCAATTATGGGTGATGCTGGAGATCCCATCGGTAGCCCTGCTTTTTGTTTGTATATTTTGTCATCAAACTTGAAGTATCTGTTGTCCTTTATGCAAAATTTTACAATATTCAGAAACATGTCTTTGGTTATGTTTGTATATTGTTCTATTTCTTCCCATCTTTCTTCAATTATATTTAGTCCTAATTCTACTGGAATACTTGGGAACAGTGATACCACGTCGAATGAAACCATTTTTTCATTATTATTAACTGTCAGGTTCTTTATCTTATCCCTAAATTGCACAGAATCCCTTACGTTGTAAACTGATTTTGTCGTCAAATTATTTAATATGTTTACTATGTATTTGCACAGTTTTATTGACGGGGAATTTATAGACGAACATATGGGTCTTAATGGATAGCCGTCTTTGTGGATCTTTGGCAAGCCATATATTCTTGGGGCAATCGCAATTTCTGTTTTGAGTCTTTTCTTCTCTATTGTCGAAATTATATTATTTTTGAAAAGTTCTTCAACGATATCATTATTTTTCTTTTGAAGGTTTGACGTAGGGTCCTTATTGATACGTTGATACGTCATCATGTCTGAGAGCAGATTGGACATTCTTTCTTTGTAATCATTTTTGTTCATGGCTACAGTCACGTTGCCTTTGTCTGCATTTAGTATTATTATGTCTTTATTTTGGTTAAGAAATTTTCGGGTTCGTTCCACTGTGCCTATCATGTATTTGTCTCTATTGCTCTCTCTGCTTCTATTCATATGTGTTTCCAGCATATTTGTTAATTTTGTTCTTCCCATTTCTTGTTGTTCTTTGTCATTGTTTGTTTGTATGAGATCTTCCGCGTCCGCAATATATTTGAATAAAGGGAAATGTGTTCTTCTTGTTGGTAAGCAGTGTTTGTCTCCTAAGGAGAGTAACCATTTTATGTCATCTGGGAAAGTTTTGTTCGTTTTGTTGACAAACCAATTATCGTTGTGCTTTATGTTGAGTTCCTTAGTCAGTTCTTCTTGTAGTTTGTTGAATTTATTTTTGTGTATTTCGTCATGTTTTTTCTGCGTTCCTGTTATTATGATATTTTCGTTAAACTGAAATTGTTGTCTTTCTTCGTGTGAAAGATTATCGTTTAACTTGTTTTCTATGTCACTTAAAATTTTGTTATTGTATTTCAATTCTTCGTGTTTTTGTTTTATAACTAAGTTTAATATTTTACCTTCAAAATTTTCTATGTATGATTTTAATGTAGATTGAATGTGGTGATTGTGGTAACTTGCGATAAAAATTCTATGTACATTTTTGATGGAGTTTTTGATGAACTTGGGGATAATTCCCATATTGCGGCAACGAATGAGAAAGGTTATGGACGATTTAATTTTTGTTACCCTAACTTTTACATTCTTGTGTTTGTTTATGTTGTATCGTACTTTGTTGTCAGTTTTTAGTTGTTTGTAGATCATTTTGTTTTTGATTTCGGCGGGCTCTCCGTTTGTTATAAACATTTTCTCTGGTTTTTCGACCTTTTTCGATAGTTAATAAAAACAATTATTTGAGCTTGAGGTCAAACTTTTTGGTTTTTTAATTATTTATTTTTCTTTTTCCAATATTTCGAAGCTCTTTGAGTTTCATCTTCAGGGTGATCTACAAATTAAATAACAAAACATACAACATATTAACATTATCACAGCACAGGACATAAACATGTAAATAAACGCTTACTTGCAAATAATTAAAATAATAAACTTAAAACTAGCGTAGTGTGACTACTACCGTCAAGTGTTACTATTGCACTGATAATTATTTGCATATTGCACGATCTCTTTTTGTTAAATGCCTGTAGCAGTAAGCTGTGTTGTCCGTGTCTGCTTTGCTGTTTATTCTCTTTGTTGTTGATAAACTATTGATGTGAAGCATCTCTATCGTTAGTCTCTTGTTGTAGTGATGTTCCGTTTGTAACACTCTCACGTCATCGATCTTGGGTGTATGGTTGTACTGTTTACAGTGTTCGGCTAACGCTGTTTTTTGTATCGAATTATTGTTTCTTAATTTGATGTCTGATTTGTGTGCTGACATCCTAGTTTTTAGTTTGTTTTTTGTTGTGCCAACGTAATGTTTTCCGCAACTTTCTTCCTTGTTACCACCACATTCAATTTTGTAAACTACATTATGTTTGTCCATTTTTGGTATTTTACTTTTCATGTTTGTGAATAAAGATTTTGTTGTGTTATGTGAGCTATGTGCTATTGTGTATTTATTTTTGTCATATATTTCTGACTTTTCCAATCTTTCTGATATATTCGGTAAATATATCAGGGATTTGTATATCTTCGGCGGGTCTGTTTTCTGCGAATCTCGACTTGAATGTTTATTCTTATAATAATTTTCAATTAGGGATTTGGTTATATGTAATGGGAAGTTATTATTAATTAGAATGTCTTTTATTTTTAATTTGTTTTGGAAATGAAATTGTTCGTCGCTTATTGTTAGTACTCTATTTATTAAGTTTTTCGCTGTATTGATAATTGTTCGTTTTGTGTGTTTAGAGTAGTAATTTATTATTCTACCTGACGCTGTAGGTTTTTGATACCAATTTATATTTATCGTATTATCTGCATTTCTTATTACTAATGTGTCCAAATATGGGATTTTTCCGTCGCATTCTTCTTCCAAAGTAAATTTAATGTTTTTGTTGAAACTATTTAGTACTGTCAGCGTTTCTTGTATTGCATCTTCCCTTATAATTAAAAACAAATCATCCACGTATTTCGTCAGTATCTTTGGTTTTGATTGTAATCTTTGCAAGCTTTCGTTGAGCAGTGATTCCATAACCAAATCTGCAATTATGGGTGATGCTGGAGATCCCATCGGTAGCCCTGCTTTTTGTTTGTATATTTTGTCATCAAACTTGAAGTATCTGTTGTCCTTTATGCAAAATTTTACAATATTCAGAAACATGTCTTTGGTTATGTTTGTATATTGTTCTATTTCTTCCCATCTTTCTTCAATTATATTTAGTCCTAATTCTACTGGAATACTTGGGAACAGTGATACCACGTCGAATGAAACCATTTTTTCATTATTATTAACTGTCAGGTTCTTTATCTTATCCCTAAATTGCACAGAATCCCTTACGTTGTAAACTGATTTTGTCGTCAAATTATTTAATATGTTTACTATGTATTTGCACAGTTTTATTGACGGGGAATTTATAGACGAACATATGGGTCGAAATATTGGAAAAAGAAAAATAAATAATTAAAAAACCAAAAAGTTTGACCTCAAGCTCAAATAATTGTTTTTATTATATATATATATATATATATACGATGATGTTTTTATGTTTCACTTTTTTTAATTTTTGAATGTTGTAATTATTATTTAAATGTCCATTATATAGAAGCAATATTTTAATAAATTATTTTTTCAGTGGAGCCGGGTGTAAACCATATACAGCAAATATCAACAAAGTCCAGTGTTACAATTCCCTATGAACGTACCTTCCGGCCAATCGGTACTAACAATCAACCAAAAGACCAGGAAGAGTTACGTGAATTTCAGTTCTGCGGTTGTGGTTGGCCTGAGCATTTACTCATTCCCAAAGGCAAAGCGGAAGGTATGCACTTTGATCTGTTCGTTATGATATCTGATATGATAGGGGATGCTGTAGATCAACCCGAAGTACCGTAAGTAGAATGAAATTGTATTATGTAGAATGAATTGTATTGAAAACCTCCCACCAAAATGATTTTTTATAGAGAGAGCCTTTGCAATGATTCATCCTCGTTCTGTGGTCTTAAGGACAAGTTGTATCCCGACAAGCGATCCATGGGTTACCCTTTTGACCGACGATTCACAAGGGAAACGCCATCTCTTCAAAAATTAACAGAAACTTTTTCCAATATGAAAATGAAGGATATAATAATAAAATACAACGATGTTGTTGTTGATAAAAAGAAATAGATATTTTGGTCATATGTCAAAAAAAAAAAAATTGTTATGACTATATTTACAGCAAAAATAAAATAGATTTTATGAAGTGCGCAAAAATTACAGTTTACGTTTTTTATGCGTCCACCCATATTTAAATGTAAAAAAATCAAACAGCAAAAATAAATTTGATGTGAATATGTCCTTAGTTCGTTGTCGTGAAAATCCACATACTTTAAATTCAATATTCGTTGGAGACATACATTTTATATATTCGTGAGCAGCGCAAAATTCTCTTCGGTACGTACAAGTTCCATTACAGTTGAAAGGACTTGTAGGAATACTAATTCTACAGAGTATGTTTAGAATGAAATATTATTATTGAACAAGACGGACAATAATATCATATATCATAATATCATTTCCATAACATCGCTAAATACTCGTCATAAAGTGTATATATTTATGATCAGCATAAAATTCTAAATCGATTTGACGATGCGCGTCTGTCTGTTGAAATCAAGATATAACTCCCATTATTTGATGAAGAGCTTCAAAATTTGATACAACAATTTGTATTGCGTCTACGATGGTTGATATCGGTCCACGTTTTGGTGGGGCCGTCTCCAGATATTTGAAATTTTCATGATTTTCCCCACATTTTTTACGGTAATTTCAAAAAAATTTGGTGTTTGTAGTTCGTAATGGGATCACACTCCAATGGCGTAAATATAATGTCTCCTCCCGATATTCGGAATTTTGTTGGTTTTAGCCACCTTTTTTTACGAATTAGACCAAAACTTGGTGTTTGTAGATCGTAATGGGTTTCAGGTCCGGTGTTTGTTAAGTTTAAGTTATTGATTTCTCCAGTTATGTTGTCACATATACCTTTTTTGTTTCATATTATTATGAAATATTTTGGAATTTTTGGTTGTTTGTTATATCGTTCTTTGGAAGAAATATTCTTTTTAGCTTGAATATCTCGTTTTGTTTTATATTGTAAGGCATTATAAATTATTGTAGTTGGCTACTGCGGATTTTTTGGGTTTCGTTTCTCTTATTAGCATAAAATTCTATGTCGATTTAACCATGTCCGTCCGTCTGTCTTTCGCTCTGTGGAAATCACTCTAGCTTCCAAACGAAATGATAAAATTTTGAAAAGGGGTCATATAGGTTCACTTTTTGATATAGCCCCAATATAACAGTTTGGCGATTGTAGTCATATTTCTGGAAACATCTTTGCAAATAACTCCCCAATAGGTCTAAGTTTAGGTATAGTTTCTTTATAATAGCACCCCTTTATTCGCTATTTTATTTCAAAGAGTTATTTCAAATTTCCATATATGTCAAACGAATTGAGATAGAAGGTTAAAATTTTGCACACGTGCCGGTGCTGTGGTATGGGGATAGGAACGTGGACCTGTATAGCCCATTATTTGAAAGAGAAAGTGTCACCTATTGCGAACTCCAAATACTTAGCCTGTTATAATTCGTCTTAAAAATGTAGCTAAATACCTTAAAATGCAGTGTATTGGGAGGGGCGAAGGGAAATATGAGCCGTTATAAAAGGAAGGAGTGCCCATTGTGAACTCCCAATTGGAAATTTGAAATAATTCCAGTGGAAAGTGGAGGTAAAATCACTGAAATACCACAACAATTTTCTTTTATTGTAGTTGGTTTTCATTACGAACACCAAACACTGAAATCGATGCAATTAGGAGAAAAAATGTGACAAAAACAAAATATTTATTGTTTCTTATAATTCATTTATTATACCCTCCGCGTTGAAAAGGAGGGGATATTAACTTTGTCATTCGTAGAACCCATAAAGTTTATATATTCATGAACACAATAGAATTCTAAGTCGATTTACCGATGTCCGTCTGTCTATCTGCCCGCCTGTCTGTCTGTCCGTTTTGACGTAGAGCTTCAAAATTTGGCAGAACAATTTGTATTGTGTCTAGGATGGTTGGTATTGAAAATGAGATATATCGGTCTACGTTTTGGTAAAGCCGCAATATAACGTTACCTCCCGATATTCGGTTTTTTGATGTCAAAAAATTGGTATTTGTAGGTCATAATGGATTTTAGCTTCGGTGGTGAAACATTGTATATATAGATCAACGTTTTTGTATAACCCCCATATAACAGTACCTCCCGATATTCGGTATCTTGATTTTCGCCACATTTTTGCAGTGTTTTGTCTAAAAGTTGGTATTTGTAGGTCATAATGGATTCTAGCTTCGGTGGAGAAACATTGTATATATAGGTCCACGTTTTGGTATAGCCGTCATACAACGGTAACTCACGATATTCGGTATTTTGTTGATTTTTGGTACATTTTTCCACGGTTTTGTCTAAAAATTGGTATTTATAGGTCATAATGGATTTTAGCTTCGGTGGTGAAACATTGTATATATAGATCAACGTTTTTGTATAACCCCCATATAACAGTACCTCCCGATATTCGGTATCTTGATTTTCGCCACATTTTTGCAGTGTTTTGTCTAAAAGTTGGTATTTGTAGGTCATAATGGATTCTAGCTTCGGTGGAGAAACATTGTATATATAGGTCCACGTTTTGGTATAGCCGTCATACAACGGTAACTCACGATATTCGGTATTTTGTTGATTTTTGGTACATTTTTCCACGGTTTTGTCTAAAAATTGGTATTTATAGGTCATAATGGATTCTAGCTTCGGTGCCGAAATATTGTATGTATAGGTTCACGATTTTGTATAGCCCCTATATAACGGTATCACTCGATATTCGGTATCTTGATGATTTTCAGCAAATTTTTCCACGAATTTGTCTAAAAATTGGTAATTGTAGTTCATAGTGAGTTTAAGCTTCGGTGGTGTGACTTTGAATGTATGGGCCCACGTTTTCCTGTGACGCACATATAATGATGCCCACCGACATTCGGTATTTTGATAATCCTAGTTACATTTACCAACGAAATTGTTTCATATTTGGCATTTAAGAAGATATGGTAGATGTCAATCCTTGAAGTATAAAATTGTCTATAGAGATTCTCGTTTTGGTATGACCCGCATAAAACGACCTCACTCACTTTATGGATTTTTTTTTTTTGAAAAGTTTGATAGCATTACTCAAACGGTCTTACTAGTATTTGTTGTTCCAAGTGGAACAAGTTTAAATTCAGATATTTTTTTATGAAAATGTTTCCTTTACCTAAAGCTGGAACAAGTTTAAATTCAGTTATTTTTTATGAAAATGTTTCCTTTACCTAAAGGTGGAGGGTATCAAAACTTCGGCCCGGCCGAACTTAATATTTTTTTATGTGTAAATTTAATTTTTTCAAAGTCATCAAATCTGGAGTGCCAGCTACATCTTTTAACGCGGTGCCCAGAAAATTTAGACTTCGAGCATGCCTGTTATGAGACTTTACTGTTTCTATAAGCGTCATCATATGTCGTATATCTGAGTCCAATAGTTGTCTCATGTATGGTCTGGGAAAAAGAGTTCTCATTTACGATCGCTGAGAACAAGGTTAGATTTATTGAGTGTTTTAGATATCCGAATTCCTCCCAAATAATGACAACTCCGTCCCAAGTCTGCTTCGAATGCGTAAGTTTATTACCTAATCGTTTATTTGACTTTACGAGGACTTTGTCACCTACTTTGAAAAGTCTGGTGTAACCTTTGCAACTGAATATTCTGTGCATTAAAAATGTTTCCCTAATTTCTGATGACTGGTGAACATCGCATGAATTATGTCAGTGGGTCGTTTCTATGTGACTATTTTTGCTTATATTAATTCGGCTGTGTTTTCAATATTTCTTTTGATCTTCAGACATCGTGCTATTTTCCACCAAGGTGCTGTGAAATCTCTCTACCTGCCAATTTGAGCAACTATGAATTGATGAACGTTCGTTTCACAATGTATTGTCTTTGTCCTCGGGTAAAATTCATTCTTTCTACTACAATTGATGGTTTGTAATTCAGCCATTCCTAAATCTTCAATATCGAGGACGGATATATGTCCTTACGATATGGAGCATTGTTCACAGATGTCTTTTGTTCCACTTCTACTTTGTTGAACAAATCCTACTCATGAATCTTGCCCCACATTTGTCAATAACCATGTCAATTTTGTCCAGTACAACTGGAAATATTCCTATAACAACTGGAACTATTAAGTCTGATTTGTCTATAATATGAAATGTGATATCTATTTTACACTCATCAAACCTGATTTGCGTTTATAAATTACCTTCTCTTAAAGTACTTTTACTTTATTTGCTTTAAATAAATAAACTTCCATACGCTATCCCACCCAACTGCGAATGCGCAATCTTCAAACTCCCTAAACCAATGATCAACGTTTGGCAATTGGTCACCACTAAAACTCGAGACCGAGTCTTGAATATCCTTCAAAGTAAACAACGTTGTGCCATGTCCAACAGCCGATGATGCTTCCCAATAATCAGAGCCTTCGTCATCAGGTGTAGAATGACCGTAATATTCAAGGAGACCGGCCTTCAGTTCGCCTTTATTTCCACTTTTCGTTAAATTAAGCTGACCCAGTATTTCCTTGAGACCTTCAACAGTTAAGGTTTTTTATAATAATTCTCTTCCAAGGGATAAAATATTCACAAGGAACCCCTTGTGTGGATTTTTAGACAGTTCCGTTCAAAAATGTATCAAAAATCGTCAAAATACCGGATATCGGGGGGTACCGTTATATTGGGGCTATACGATACCGTGGACCTATAGCGATAATTCACAAGGAACTCCTTGTGTGGATTTTCAGACAATTCCGTTGAAAAATGAATCTAAAATCGTCAAAATACCGAATATTGGGGGGTACCGTTATATGGGGGATATACGATATCGTGGACATATATAGACAATTCTCTTTCAGGGGGTACAGTGCTCACAAGGAACTCCTTGTGTGGAGTTTCAGACAATTCCATTAAAAAATGGGGCTAAAATCATCAAAAAACAGAATATCGAGGGGTACCGTTATACTGGGGCTATACGATACCGTGGACCTATAGCGATAATTATCCTCCAGGGGAGGAACTCCTTGTGTGGAATTTCAGACAATTCCGTTAAAAAATGTGGCTAAAATCATCAAAATACCGAATATGGGGGGGGGGTAC